GGCTATTCGAATATAAATTACAAGGCAGATAATGGCTAAAGCACAGGATGAAATTTCAGAAGTGTAGACGGTCCTGTGCTTTAAGATTCACGGGATATTAATTTTTCAAGTTTGAAATTCAATAAATAATATATTTTAATGTCTTGCTTATACTAAATAAAACTTCAAAATAATTTAAGTATATTTATTGTCCTTTAAGTAATGTTAGTTTATTTAATATGTGTTTTAGTAGATTTTACTGAATTAAATATTTTAACTTTATGATTTATTCTCACGTCGATATACTTTTCACATACAGTCCTCACAAGTTCTTATGCATATTTTTAAATATGTTCACGATTTCTTATGATATTTAAAGAAAAAAAGTTCCTGTAAACATGTGGCCAAAAAAAAGTAGATGTTAAAATGGCCACCTTCTGATAAAACGAACAATTCCAATCGTTATCATCATTGATCGTCTCACTCGTTCAAAACTTCCTGGAGAATTGTATGACATCACAACTTTGAATTATTCGATTTTGTAACTCGTTTTCATCTTGTAGGTACAGGTGTCTTATACACAAGAGACTTGAAATGACTCCATACATAAACTGCCATATTGTGCAAATATCAAAAATTCAAGAAAATTAATAAATTATTTTTTTGTATTCCTTAAATGATTAAAAATTTCTAATTTTTTTGGACTTAATGATTTTATGTTATTTAAAATTGTATTTGGAGCAAAAAAACTTGTGAAAATATTTTAATCAACAATTCGAGAATGACTCGTTTTTGGAACAAAATGGAAGGTATCTTTTTTTTAATTCTAGTAGAAGTTACCCCCAACGAATTTCTTCAAAACTAAGTTGAATAGAACTGTTCTCTAAAATCGTTGCATTCGATTTACATTTTTACATTTCAAAAATTTAAACTTTATTAAGGATTCCGTGTTTTTAAATAATTTATGGTAGTTTTAATTCTAGCGGTCATGTTATCGAATCTAATTACATAAACTTCAAGTTTCACCCAAGTTATCATTCTTTGGTTTAGCATTAGATAAAGCTTGTGGCAAGGAATTACCTGCACAATGAAAATGTCCTCATATCAGTTTAGGGTTTAGGGGATACCTATATCTTAAGGTGCGTAATAAATTATTATAACCAAACGGAAATTCAGTTATATACATATATATATATATATATAATTTGAACATAATTTTTAGTTGTCTGGTTTAATGAGAATTGAAGGCTGCTTTGGTGGGAACACTCTATATCCAAAGCGCACCATTACTGGTGATATAACGCCTACATCATCATCTCGTTGCAAACTCCATTTCTTTGCTCGGTTCATCACTGCTTATCATTTTAGGGGCATTTTTCAGCCTTCAAACTTATCTTTGTCCCATTGTGTAAAAAAGTTGGTTTATAAATAGCAGCAGAACGCGTGATAAGTAAGTTTTTTATTATGTTAAATTTGCCATTATGCCCCCAACAGTTATCTCCCGCATTGTACTGTAAAAAATGATATTTTTTACCAACGAAATTCTTATTTTTTACTCTCAACCATGCTATTTAATGAGGAAAAAATAATTTCGTTTCACGAATAATAAAGTGCAAACTATTAAAACATTTTCTCCATATTTTAAAATTAATGATTATTTAATTTCTATTTTTATCAGAGAATTTGTATTTGAAAGTTTCATTACCCTTTCTGACATCTTGTAGGAAAATAATGTACTAAATTGTGAATATTCAATTCAAAAAGTTCTAACGTAGTGAGCTGTAATTGTTTACTATTCGATTGTTTATTCAGATAGAAAACTATAAAAGTGTTCAATAAATACGCACCGTGTTTTTGTCATTAGTGTATAGATGGCAGCATATCAATTTTATTCAACGAAAGAATCATGGAGACTATACAAGGAGCCCGAACTCCATGTAAACAAAAATCTTACAAAAATAAGAGGGCGCTAGTGTTCCATATGTCCCATATGTAGAGAGGGGAGATAAAAAGCGGCAGTTTGAATTATAAATCAATCATGTCATTTTTGTAATGTGTTAAAAATTTTAAAATAAATAATGTAAGCTACTTTGAATTATATAAATCATGAAAATATGTCATTCCGGACTGTAATTAAACTAAATAGATAATAAAAAATATTAGCTTTATGAGAAGAATTTGGTATTCGTAGAAAGAAACTAGTTTTCAAGGAATTTATGACGTGATCTTGTTAATATTAACCTATAAGTAAGGTTTATGTTTTTGATAATTACTTTGTTAAAGATTTTAGTTTAATGTTAATAAAAGTCACATTTTATACAGGAAGTTGCCTTTAAAAAAATAGTAATTCTTGTATTATTAATATGGAATTTTTACTTGTAGTAATAAAAAATAGAATATAAAAAAACTCGGTGTTTTAAATAAACTTTTTAAAATATTACAGATGTCCGATTTTGAGTCCAGTGATTCAGATGACTTATTAGACGCATTGCCCAGCTTGAGAGTGATGATGAAATAGATTTATTCTAAGAAACAGATAGAGTAAAAAATAAGAACTACTTTGAAATTATTGTACCTGAATATAGTGGCCAAGTTTTTTTAACATTTCCGTGTTAGCATATGGGAAGTAGCTAACAGAATTGAAGAAAAATTTGTCATTTCTAATTATTTCACCCATGATTCTGGTAAATTTTGCATTGCCTTAAGCTCTACAACAACCAGAAAAGTTACATACTTGCTAAGTAACTTGTCTCCATAAATTATAGAATGGCCGAGATAATGAGGCAGTTGTAATCGAACAATATTTTGCCCAATATGAATTTCCAGAGCAGGTTATAGGAATAATTGATGGGAAAGGAATTATGGTTGGATTTTTCTAAGCTGATTGCCATGTTGTCGGTTTAGACTTCTCAATGCTTCGAGAGTCATATCGCTCTCTTCTCAAAATGTCAAGAAGCTTAAAACAACATAACCAATTGATACCAAAATTTTAACAAAATATAGGTACTCCATTATAAAGGTCACAAAAACTAGGTAATCTAAATATTTTATAACTGTTTAAAATCGATTAGTTTTCTGGCTATATATTTTAAAATTGCTGTAAAATTTAATTCTACTTTCGTAAAATTGTTGATTTAATTCGAACGTAACATGGTTCCATGACTTATTTCAAGGTAGAGTATAGACCAAAATTAATAAGGTATTATAAAGAAATATTTTAGCAATGTTCTATATTTTTGTTACATATTTTGTAAAATTAAAAATAAAATGTTTATCTACCAAAGTTTTCAATGTTTTATTAATTGAATAAAAAAAACAAAATTATTTGTGCCTAATTAAAATAAAATAAATATTTATTCATAACAAACAAGTAACAAAGTAAATATATATTACAAATAAAACAACTTAAAAATAAGTAATACGTGTCAGTCTATCTTCTTAAAATTTCATTTTGTTCATGAAGCAATTGATTTCCATGTTTAAATATTTAGTAAAAGTAGTCAATTACCAATACAGATCGATCAGCATCAAACAAGTATCCTCTCTTTAAATTTTATATGATATCTGAATTTCAATCAGTTTTTTACTAACAGGAAAGAAACGGCAACTAATTGGAAATGATTTATTCAATTCAGTAATGATAATAGCGATGTCACCAGCAAGAATTATATGAAAGATACGAATTTAATTATTTATGCACGTAATATAAATTACAAGAATATGTAGAAATAAATAAAGTATACTTTGTTGCTATTGTCAATATTATGTGAACATATTCATAGTTGGTTTGTCGAGACCTCATCACACGTCAACAGAACTTTTCTTTTATTAGATTATACAGGACAGGATGCTCACTTTCTAGTATAATCTCATCGTAACTTAATTGCTCTTAATTTACTTGCTGTTCTTGTTGTTGTTGTTGTTGTAACTGTTGCTCTTGTTGTAGCTGCTGCACCTGTTGTTGCTGGTGTAGCGGATGCTCTTGCTGTTGATGCTGCTGCAAAATATATAAAGAAACAATGCATCATTCAATTATACAATATTTTCACTTATGAAATCTTTCTATTTAAAAATTTCTCTACTGTATTAAGAATCAAAGAGGCTGCTTCCAACTTCCGAATTATTCGACCTTTTGCCATAATATTAACCCACTATTCGGTCAAGTTGTAATATAGAACTGCTGGACATCATCAGATTGAAAATGCAGATCACAAACGTACTGTTTTATTTTAAATCTGTCGACAGTCATTCCCACAAAACATATAATACAGTCATTCCCTTCACATACTATTACCATATTTAAATTATTTTCGAAACTTTTTATTTAGCATTTATAAAAACAAATTGTAATAATTATTGACTTGACTTCTAGTTTTTAGGTTTAGTATACCTCCCCGCTCCCCAATATATCTACTAAACTCGATATAAATAAAATAAAATTGGTTATTTGCTTACTTCACTCGTATTTGTGAAGCTACATTCATTTGGGTCATATGGAACACTAGCGCCACCTCAACTTCTGCCATTTCTTGGACAAATTTTGTCAATTTTTCCGTATGAGTTCGTGCTCCTTATCTAGTCTCCATGGAAAGAATTATGCGTTCCTTGTGCCGTGCCTTGCCACTAGCCACTAGTGATGGGCATAATCGACTAATTTTGATAATCGAGTTATCGGTAATCGAGTACTTCTAATAATCGAGTGATCACTCGAGATACGAGATATTGGTCGTTTTCATGCCAGCGGCGCACAAATATGTTTGTATTAGTCATATATTACTTATAAGCGTAGCTAAAAAAAAAAAAACTCACGCACTTCAAAACCTAACCACTTTTTCGTTTTATTCTAAAAAAAGGTTACGCAATCAGTGACTATTTGCAGTATGCACTAACATTTTGGTGTGCAACCGTAGGATAATAATCACTCGAGTGGTGGAAGTAAACATCTCGAGATATCTCGAGTGATCTCAATAATCGAGTACCACTCTATTTTTCACTCGAAATCTCCCATCACTACTAGCCACTCTTGCCAGTAAAATGTTAGGTTAGATTTTTAGGTTCCTGAAATTTAAAAATTAAACAAATTCAGTTTTAAAGAATTAATACCTATATATATTTTTTTAAATTTAATGCAAATGTTGATAATTCCTGCGGAGAATGTTTAATAGTTTTCGCTATTTTAACTAGTGAAATAAAACTCTTCTAAATACTAAATATCTTTACAATTTTTATTAGCCACATTTTCATGGATAGAATTTGTGAAATATGTGGAAAAACTTCAAAGTATAAGTGCCCAAGATGTTACATTTATTAGTAAGTTAAATATTAAACTAAACAAGCTCATATTTAACCGATTTTTTCGATAGTTGTTCAGCTTTGTGTTGTAAGAAACATAAAAATGGTAAATGTAAGAGTAATTCATATAACAACAAAACCCAGGAAGTTAAGAGAATTGATGGAAAGAAGAAAGAAATTAAAGGGAGTTCCACTATCGCTACCGAAAAGCTAGACTTATTAGGTTAATGATTCCCATGTGATCTTAACGTCTTTCTTAAATGTTATATCATTTTTAGACAATGATGAGGCGGTGAAGAAGTTATTGACAAATAAACATTTGAGGGATTTATTGTCAGTCGTCGACAAGGCAGAAAATGCTGAGGAAATAATGCACAAAGCTATGCAAGAACCGATTTTTGTCGAGTTTGCTGATGCTTGTTTAAGGGTTGTTGATCCTAAAAGTGACGATGAAAATTAAATAATGTTACGTTTATTATTGTATGTCTATACTATTTCTTCTGTTAAAAGTACGATAATCTACAATGTGCCATTAACGATTAATTTTTATTAAAAGTAATTTTTATAAAATTATTACTTTTTTATGTAACTAATTTTTAATATACTGAAGCAAGATCTTTTAATTTAAAAAACTGGGCTGGCCAAGGGCTGGAATTTTAAGGATTCAAATAAATGTGCATGTGGTGCCATCTTACGATAAGTTTTCAAACTAAAAATGATTCAAATAAGGATAAATAATCAAGTAAAAAATAAGAAATTTGTTAATAAATAACTAACAACTAAATTTTCATTATATTTATTCACGTAGTTTTGAAAATTGTATAAAATTGGAATAAGGATAAACCATGTTATCTCTCTTTTTCTAACTGAAAGGCCATCCGTCAAGTTCAATGCTCGTATGGTGTTTATGAGTTTTGTGACGGACGACGGAAGGTGATCGTGATTTTGACAAGTAAATATATATTTTTTTATAATCGTATTGGTGGCCGTCAGTTGGTGAACTAAAAAAAAAATGAATAAAACTTGCGATATCTGTCACAAGGACGGTATATACAAGTGTCCGACTTGTTTAATATTTTAGTAAGTGGGCAACAAATCTTCAAATTCTTTACAACGCAGTTTAACCTAGCTTTTTGTAGCTGTTCACTGACCTGTTGTAAAAAACACAGGGAAGCCAAATGTGATGTGGTGAAATTCGACTCTGATGAGGACGAGGAAGAACAGGTGGAGAGAAAGAGGAAAAAGGATAATAATTACCATGATTCTGAGTTAGAGGTACCGAGTGAGTGATATTTATCGATTAGTAGTGATGAATTTCTCTGTTCGATTGATTTTGTAGAGAACAACGAACAAGGTAATGGATTGTTAGGTAATAACCACTCCAGGAATCTTCCAGTGACGATAGATGAAGCAGAGAATGTCGAAGAAATATTGGAGAAAAATGAACAAGAGCCTATTTTTGAGGAGATTGCAGGTGCCTGTTTGAAGGTTGTTGAACCCCAAATAGAGGATGATGAACCTCAGATAACTGAAGATACATTATAAGACTGAACAGTGATAGCATTTTTACTCTTTTGATATAACATTCTGCAATTTTTACATTGCTTGTTTCTTGTGATACTTTTCAATATATCATTTAATATGTAAGATTTTGTATCAGGTATGTATTATTAATTTTAAAAATATTAAACCTATTTAAGTTACCTTTTTATTTTCTTTTATGTTAGTACATCTATTGAGAAAAAATGTTTTCGATCTTAAAGGAATTTAATAATGAATCTAATAAAATCCTTTATAAAGGACTGTTAAACAGTTTAAGTCCTTGGTATTTTCAGGACGTCTTTTGTTAAAGAAATGAGTCATTTTTGATTTTTTTTTATTTGGGATTTACAATCAGTCAAGTTGAACAAATCGAAAATAATTGAATAACTATTTGTTTCATACAAAAAATTATAGTTGGAAATAGAATTGTAAATATAATTATTAAGTGCAAAAAAATCAATGACGTAGGAACAATTAACATTAATTTAAAATTGCTAAGCTAATGATTTTTTTACATTTATGGTTATTTTGTATTTAAAATTATGTTTCTAATACAAAATTTTCATATTTTTTTGTAGTTTTGGAGTTATTTTTGGTTTATTTAACTATATCAGGTTTACCTAAAATTTAAAAAAATAAATAAAAGGACTTATTTTTTGTATAAAATTAGATATTTTTTGTGAGTAATATCAACTAGAATTAAATGCATGTAATCGATATCAAAAATACTCAGTGGTGACATTCTCGGACTTTTAGTAACAGAGTTTTTCTGTATATCTACCTCTATAGTAGGGTCGTATTTGACCCCTTAAAATCGTATTGCACTGGATCCCTTGATAGGTAATGATTTATTACTTTATTACATCGAATATAATCCTAGTATAGTTGAAAGATTTTGTGTAGCAATGGGGTATTCTATTGACTGTTACAGTTTAACTTGATTCATCCTGTATACCGTGCAATTCAAAATCAATACCTAATTCTGAACTGTCATGATGTCGGTAACCTACACTTTTACTTTAGTTATTTTTTTTAATAATGAATAATTTGAATTATACATATATTAAAACGATTTAGTGCTTGCTATGACTTTATTGAATAATGAAGTTGAATTTGTACAGAACGATTATACTGATATTCTGTGAGATCTACAATTCGTCTTTAATTTGTGACTGTGTATCAATAATGAAGGTATCCAAGTCTCCAGGTAAGGTTGCGTTGTCAAGGGCATTGGCCAAATGCCAATATCTTTTCCTCATCAAATGCGCTGATGCTTTTGGTTGTCTCTGCCTAGTAAATAGACCTTTCTTATTGCCCCCGACTCTTATAATAGCTAAGAAAAAGAAAAACATTGTTTTAATAAAATTATTATGAAATGTGTAAAACAAATTAATTTCAAATTTAAGATTTATAGTAGATTTAAACAGTGTTTCATTTAAGGAGGAAACTACTTACATTGGGATGTTTTAAAATCTGCAAAATTCCAAATCATCTCTCCTATAAACCATCCCTCCTGACGTAGTTGATCAAAAGCTTTGAAATAACCAGATATATATTCACACTGGTATTCCTCTGACCAAACAAATGACGGAAGCTGTAATCAAACTAATTTTGAGAGATCATCTACATTTCATCCAGTGTCAGCGTACAAAAATTTACCATGGGGTAGACCAGACCAAAATAAGGTTAAAATTCTTATAAAATATTTTTCTGCAATGGACTCTCACTGAGTTGCAGGGTGTTGTTTAGAAAAAAAATAATAACTCCGAAATAACTCAAAAACCTTTTTAGGGATTTAAGTAATTTTTGAGTGAAGTATACATCTATTAAATGTCATTAAAACTACACGGTGTTTATTCGATCTGACGCCAGGGGCGGCCTAGGCCAACTTGTCCTCAAGGTTATGTCTTCATAACTTTTGCATATCCTAGTTTTATGTAATTTGATTACGTTTTTCCGAATCTGCAATCGATTCTGAACAAAAATTGTGCTCTTGTTTCATAGCTCAAAAATGAACCATTTTCGAGTAAATTGGGTCTAAAGCATTAGTTCGTAGAAAAATGCATGTAAAGAATTTATTTCTTGTTATCTAGTAGGTACCTGTCATTATAAAAAAACAAAGTTGTTTACCGTTGAGGTACAGTTTCCCAAGTAGCTGCGGCTCAATAAATATGAACAAACTAAACAAGTTTTCTATGAATTATTTAATATTTGGTTACGTATAGGGGAACTAAAAATAAAATTGAAAACTATATAACAGAAACGAAATTATGTTGCAAAATGACAATATTAAAAATAAAAATAGAAAACAATTATTTCAATAAATGCTCGAAATGCTGTCCATTTACGTCATCGTTTGACCAAGGAATTGTAAACCCTTCGCAAATCAACGGTTGCTTGAATCACCCTGTATATTTACCATTTAATAACAAAAATAGAGTTTTTAGAAAATTCATATTATAACAAGTTAGTTAATATTATAAGAATTTCGTCTTAACAACAGATATTTTGTAATGTTTTACAACAATCTGTCACACTGTCATTTGCCCACGGCCAACTTGTTATAATAGGATTTTTTAAAATACTCTTTTTTTTATTAAATGGTAAATATTTAAGAAATTATTGATTTTAGATATAGGGAATGCTTTATAAAAATAAAGGAATATAAAGTGTATTTTCAGTTTTTAAAATAAAATGATTGATTTTAACAAAATGAGAAAATTATGTGTTCGAGTTTTGGCTCGCCCTATATTCAACTGCTGCAATAATACAGAAATAACACTTTCTCGTAAAACTGTACCATTATCAAAAAGTTATGCCTGCAAAAAATTATTGTTAAGTTGTTCTGTTTAGGGTATACAGGACGCTGAAATGGGAATGATTCTCTTATACAATTGACCATAATTTTTGAAATACCCTGTATAACATAATTAAACCCTGTATTTAAAGCATGGCAGAGATGAGCTTAATTTAAATTTGAAATAATATATAAGGTGTCCCTTTTAAAAAATAGTATGTTTGGTTCACCCTGGGAATACGTAACACTCTGTTTATACGAAATAATTTTAAAATGTGCAGTTTTAAGTTCACTACAATGTTTGTAAGTAACTTGTTTTAATATCTTCTATAATAAAGGAGATCTCGTACTTCGACCCACAAATGCCGCACCCTGTATGTCATTATTGTAAATTTCTATTATTTACCCGATTCCATTTAAACTTTTTGGTGATTTTCCTCGCCAGGTGTTATTTGTTGAAATATCTGATTAAGATTAGAAGATAATCACTTACTGCATCTTCTACAGTACCATAGTACCTACTCATAAAGTTTCCTGAGTCATGTTTTATTTACGATTTCAAATTTAGGAAAACAGCTGCTACCACTTGTCCATTATCTATGCTATTTTTATTTAAAATCATTTATAGCTCTGTAATGCAGTTTCGAAGAATATCCTTCACAAAACGCTTACTTATTTTCGTTTAAAACATTGTTGTTTTTAATATTAGTACAGTCATTGAAGCTTTTCACCTCCGAATTCTTTGCAACTGAACCGATCGACTTGAAATTTGGCAGATAGACAATGAACATTAGTGACATCGCGCCGATTGACGCTTCCACCCTGTTGGGGGTTGACACCCCATCTCGGGGGTGGAATTTTTTTTGAAAAATAACGCTGGAAATCGATAGAGATTCCAATGTTGAGCAAAAAATATTCGAAGAATTTTTTCGAGAAATCAATAGTTTTTTAGTTATTCACGATTGAAAACTTAGAATTTTGAGTGAAAAAAAAAACACTTTTTCAAAGTATTTTTCGCGAATAACTCAAAAACTATGCATTTTATTTAAAAAAGTGCAATGAACAAAAATGTAGCTTATAAATAAACAAAGAAAATAGTTTTCTAAAAAGTATTGTACGTCCTATACAAAGCGAAATATGGTTATTGGAAAGGGACTTGTTTTGGGGGGAATCGATATATTCAACGTCTAATGACGGGAAAAGGATTAATTTTACGTGTATAACGCTCCTGGAGTTTTTTGTAGTACTCAAAAAGATCTTCAAATACTTCAAAATGAGCACTTATAAAAGTTAATTAGAGCAAAATTGAAGGAGTTATCGTCAAAAACAGATGGGTTGCTCATAATTTTTAAGGAAAAATGAGCAGTAAACGCTGTACCTTTTCCATCAGATTTAAAATTAATCGTAGACCCTTTACAATTAGTTTTATTTTAGTGTTTTTCATACGATCCTGAAGTTAGACCGGTTTAGAATGCGTATTTTTTGAATAATGTACGGTAAATTTGAAAACGTATATTTCATTATTAAAAAAAAATGCCTATTTATATAATAACTCTGAAACTATGAAAGATACGTAAAAAATGATAGACAACAAAAATGTAGCTTTTTTTTCGACAAATATTTATATATTTTTTATTCCTATAGCATACAAAATAAAGGAGATGTCACCGCTTGAAGTATTCATTTTAGTGAAAAAACGACCTGTTTCGAGTCCTTCGATCCTTTCCCATTAAAAGACGAAGGTTTTATATGCAAACGATCTTACAGCTCTTCAAATTATTTTTAAAATGCTTTTTAATAGGATACTATAGCTTCAAAATTAACCGAGTTATGGTAAAAAAAAACTAATGACATTTTTTCGGAACAAAATAGGTTTTCTCATTTTTATATATTATATATACAGCGTGGTAAAAAAGTTCTGCATAAAATTCATATTTTCGTTAAACATTTTTTTTTTCGAAAAACGGTGAGACCCGTCGATCTTTATTTGATCCAGGGCACCTTGTTATGTGGAAAAATTTTTTTTCGATAATCCACTTACGGCAGCGGTGACATAATTTTTTTGGTTCGAAATTGATGACAGTGATAATTATCTAAACAACGGTGTGAAAATTTACATGACAATTTTTTTTTAGAAAAATGCACATTAAGTTCTTATAAGTGATAATTGTCTACTTACACTATTAATGGCATTCCCGAGTCGATTTGATTTATTTCAAAACGAATACGGTTTTTAAGTTCTTCGAAATCACCTGTTTTTTTTATGTACACACGCGATGTCAAATAGCCCCACAAAAAAAGTCTAGAGGTGTTAAATCAGGCGAACGCAGAGGCCACTCGATTGTTCCGCGTCGCCCGATCCACCGGCCAGTAAACGTAAATCAAATCGACCCGGGAATGCTTGAACGAAGTGTAGACGGCGTTTACACACGCTTAGGACAATGCCAAATGGTACAGGGTGGGCAATTCGAACAATTTCGCTAGACTTACACAAACATTAGTGTAATTTTACTCGTTTGAAATGTAATTTTGTCAACTTTGTCCTTTTCGGAGCCATTAATAGTGTAA